GTTAATATTTTCTCTGCAGATAGGGTGTGTATGTATGTGTGTATATACATTCTCTCTCTCTCTCTCTCTCTCTCTCTCTCTCTCTCTCTCACACACACACACACACACACACACACACACACACATTTCAGGGTAACTTATAGGACTTCAAATTTTCTGGTAGCTTCCATTCAAGAACTAACTCAGAATGATTTTGCTTAGCTTTTCAAAATCAACAAAGATACTGAGTGGTTTAACAGAACATGTGATATTTGGGGTAGATGATTTGCGGTGTCTTGAAGGGTTGTAACTTGGGAGCGGCCATTCATTAGAGGACTTGGAGAATGCCCATAATATTTTAAAAGTCCTCTGACTGAAAGGGGAAATTTTTTTTCCCCAGGCAGCAAATATTGCTTATTCAGCCTTTGCAATTTGTATCACATGTACTGTGTTATAAAATGCCTTTTAATCTGGATTGCACTGTTTTGTTTTGCTTTGTTTTATTTCAAAGTGGAAAAACTATTCTAGCACCAAAGCATATTCTTTCTCCTTTTAAATATGCAGCACCAGTATATAGTGGATAATATCTGCAAAGCTTACAGCCAGTGTACATTTCTTTGTCCTCTGTGGCTGCCCCCCCCAAAAGGTTTGAAGTCCATGAAGAACTCCATCCTTTCTATTCCTATTATCAATCTGTGCATCGCTGAGCATTTCTCTCCCTGACCTTATTACTTTACTGAAATTAAGCTTGAAACAATCTGATGTCAGGTCCTATAGTATATCTCCTTTTATTGCCTACCTTGCTGAGAATGTCCATATTGCTAATGCTGCATCTCATTTTAGATGGATTTAACCAGATATATATTCCCTAGTTTATAGAGAATCTGATGGATTGCATTCTGCACAGAGGAGCTGTGGATCCATCTTTTCTTGATGCATTTGGTAGAACATGAGAATTCAGAGAGATGCCCAACCCAGAATTCATCGTTTTTCCTTTGGAATCAGCAAGGCATCTTTCATATTCACCACCAGAGATACATATAATTGCAGGAAGATTGATGTTGCTCTCACATTGCTTTGTTCTTATTAATATCCTACTCCCATACAGATTTGCTTGGAACTATGTCCCATTGATCTCTGTGTCACTTACTAGCATATAATATGGGGAGGCGGCTTAGTTGCAATCTCAGGGCTACTAGATCTATAGAAAAGTGATAATTATAAGATAAAGAGATTTTGCTTAGCAAACAGTGCTACTCTGAAAATAAGACTAACAAGGCAATAAAAGGCAAAACGTGGACTATATGCAATGCTAGGTGAGCAGATTTCTACATCAAATAGAACTTTTCTGCTCTTTTGTTCTATTTGCCCCTTTCAAGTCTATTTTAACAGGTCCTTCCTAAATTAGCAGGTTTGGAATGTGTGCAGATAGGTTATACAGGAGAAAAAGAGTAAAACAATATTTATCCTTCAAAAAACCCTGCATTGGTTAGGGCTGATAATTCAGTAATATTTGATGGGTTACCAATTTAGATCTTCTGCTAACAAGAGTTGACTATTTCTTTGTTGATTCTGATGTTATTTTCTTTCTTTTCCTGTGAAAATTCAAAGGTGTGAGAACAAATGGTGACTGAAGTTTGGTACTGTTTGAATGGAAATGCACGCACATATCTAAAAATATCTAGGAGTATTTTAATTCTCTCCAAATATAGCTACATCCATGAAAGCCATATATGCCAAGGAATTGACAGGGAAAATGTGTGTACATGAGGAAAAAGGGGTTGGCAATGAAGGGAAATTGTATGCAAGGTAGTATCATTCCAATTAAAGGGAGATGGGAATTCTGCCATTAAAAACAACAACAACTACATTCCTTGGATAAAGGTAGCATATCCCAGAGATCAGACCTATCATATTTTCCCCACACAACTACCAGCTCATTTTTTGACCTTCCCCCTTTCCCCAACTCAACCCCAAAAGGCATAAAATTGAAGCTGAGCTGTGGTTCCCATTAAAGAGTGAACTCTGCTTAGGTCATGGTGCTTCAATTGCGGAATAGCAATCAATTAGTTTATCATTAATCAGATAATTTTTGGTTTCTTGAATATGAAGTGAAAAGTAGAAATAACTTGCAGGATCATTTGCGGAAACCATCTCTCAGCTTTATAAACTAATGCTTCTGTAATGGCCCTTTTTAATATAATTTATAGGTTCATCATTACCCTTTTTGTATTAGTAATTATTTCTAAAATACCAGAGAACCATCTTTTCTCCCAAGGTTCCTCTCTGTCTCTGATTTATGGCCAGTCTCACATTGGACTCTGTCTTTCTGAGATTTGACATTTCAAAATATTTATAGCTCTTTTACATTAATGCCTTTCTCATGAATCTGAAGGTGACCGTTATTTCTTTCATTTTGTTGTAATTAAATGGATCAACTTTGGCTTTATTCTTTTCACTATTTATCTGTGTAGCACATTAAAACATTCAAATTAGAAAATGAGACCCAGCCCTGTAAAATGAGATTGGCTGCATATTTCCTAAAAACACAAGCCATCCACAATGGACTGGCTAAAAAACTGTTCCAAGTGAAAGCGCAAAATCTTTAATATTTTATTGATCAGATCTAAACCTTCTGCCCAAAGTGGCAATTAAATTTCAATTAAACTGACTGAAAGCATCATATTAAATTTCAGCACTTTACGAGCTATCAGATAATGCTGCAGGACAAATCTTTAGTATGATCACACTCTTTTCAAATTATATTATCCTGTTCATTCACAATAAAAGTGACAGTTTTAGGTATACTTTCAATATTTCTTGAATATAAGCCCTCTAATGAACACATTTTATTGCCTTTAAATCAATTATTATTGGATATTTTAATAAAGTGAATTGAGCACTTTGTTTTACACACTGCTTAGAAGTTATTATATTTTGCAGAGAGCACAGCAAAGGCCTGTACTGAGATGACAGAAATATCAAAATACCTAACATTGCATTATAAATTTAATCATCTTCTTTTAAGGGTGAATATGCTGCCTTGCATTTCATTGCACTTTGCAGTGCAGTATATTAATTAAAAACAGATTCACTCTTCAAGATTTGGATCTTGAGTCTTCCATACACCTCTTGCATTAATGAGATAAGGTCATGATAATATAACTGAAATACCGAAATAAAACACTGAAGGGGTTTTAAAGATATTATTGAATATTATGCTTCGCACTTTAGGATTGTACTAACTCTCATTCCCTTAGCTGTGTGTAGTGTAATAGCATTTAACCTATATTAATAAAAAAAGAGCTGTAGACGGAAGGTGTTCTACAGGAGATTATAGGTAAGGTTAAGTAAGTTGTAAAAAAACAAGCAAACATAGTTAATATCCAGGTGATTCTGGGAAATGGGCAGCTACATGCTGTGCCCAAAGGAAGAAGACATTTCTTGATCACAAACTGAATCAGTATAGTCTAATTTTAAGATGATAGGAACCCCCCCCCCCGAATAATTTCTATTAATGTGGCAGTTGTCTACTTTTTCCTTCGCCTTTGAACAAATGACATGAAAAAGTTACCCAAAGCTCTGGCAAGGAATGAAACAGCTGATCATTTATTTATTAATCAAATTTATATAGCTGCCCATCCACAAGAAGTAATACTGAGTGGCATCATGGAAAGGGTCTCTTAGCTTAATGCTTGTCTACCTCAGCAACTTTAAGACAAGTGAACTCCAACTGCTGGCATTCTGACTGAGGAATTCTAGGAACTGAAGCCCACATGGCCTAAAGTTGGTGACGTTGAGAAACACTGGGTCATAGCTGACTCTAGAGATAGCTGCATCCCATTGCTTACAATTCTTGGTTAATTTCTAATTCCATTTCAGTTTTGCAAAAATAAATAATAAAAAAAAATGAGGGTCCATCCTTTTTTTCTGAGATTGTGTGTGTGTGTCTGTCAGTGGTGGGTTCCACTTACCTTCACTACCAGTTCGCAATGAAAGTGCGTGCTTTGCTTCTTCTGCACATGTTTTGCTTCTTCGGCACTTCTGCGCATGTGCACGATGCTTCTGCGCATGTGCACGATGCTTCTGCGCATGCGCATGGCACTTCTGCACATGCGCATGGCACTTTTGTGCATGCACACGGTGCTTCTGCGCATGCACCGATCGTCCATGATGACGTACGGATAGGTGGGCGGAGCCTCCCACCACCGTTACTACTGGTTCGCAAGATCTGGACCCTACCGGTTGCAACCCACCACTGGTATCTGTGTCTGTCTGTTTGTGTGAGGGAGGGGGGGAGAGAGAGAGATGCAAAGAGAGAGAATAGTTGAACAAATAGAAAATCAAGCAATAGATGCAAAATAAACAATGCTATTCCACCATGTTTTGGATTTTGGGTTTTTTTGCTTTCATTGTAACCAAAATAGAATTCCAAGCAGAGAGAATATTTTATTGCTAATAGCTGCAACTTTTCAAAAGTAAGTGTATTATGAACAATATGCTTCTTTTCAGTACTGATAAATGGCTTCTCAGTATTTCATGCTGGAAACAGAATTTTTAAAAACCAGGCATTTCATAGTATAGGAAAAGCAACTCAACCCTAGTTAAGCCGTATTATGTAATTGCTACAACTACAGGCATTTTCACACATGAAACTAGAAACACTTCCTGCATCTCTTCTCCACCTAAAATTAATCCATACAACCCACACTGACTAAAATTAACATTCTGCTTTGAAATGGCACCCTTTCTTCCTATCCTCATGCTAATTATATTACTCCATGGACTGAAATAGTGCATCTTGGTCTCTGGGGCATTATGTGTGAAAACTAAGATCAAATTTAAAGAAGACATTCTGGATATAATATATGAAAAGAACTTGTTATTAGCTTCTATTGATATTAAAGATATTTCATTCTTACCTATCTATTTCCTTCTTAAGGATGCCAGCTACAGTATTTTTGACTGCATACCTAGGCTTTAAAAGGAAGCAAGGAAGATACTGCATACATTTGTTTTCATTCTCCTTCCTTCTTTTGAGATTTTATGGTTCCACTACAAAGATCCATGCAGTAGGAGTCTAAAGCAGGTATTTTCAATAAATATAAATCTCTGGAGGAAGAAAATGAAGGAGAAGAAATAAAGAAATCAGCCAATCGTTTTTTTTTCCCAAAGGTAAGATTTGGTTCTGAATCTGATACTAAATACATTCGATATCAACTGGATTGCTTTAATTTGTGACTTGCATCTGACTAATCTGTCTCTTTGGAAAATGTTAAAACCAAATCATTTTGGAGGACCTTAAGTTCATTCTTGTTGCCATTTTGTTCTCTTGTCCCTCTCTGTAATTGTTTTCTATTTTTATATCCTTTGTATACCCACATACTATATACATATACAGTTTATTCCTTTGGCAGTTGATCTGGTAAATGTGACTGGAGATTTAATCAAGTTTAAATCCCTATTTGATCAGAGAACTAAATCTTATACACTGAAAATATTGCAAATGTACAGTATGTTAGAATTTAATTTGATAGCTATTTGGTAACTCTTAGAGCCTTTGCAACAAAAATATCCTTTTTTGAGTTCTGTATTTCAGTTCTGACTATTTTCTGGTATCTGGATTCTTAGCTCAATGAATTTTTAAAAAGTAATATAGATACCATTGCTGTATCTGATTGTGTCCCAGCCTCAGTACATTATCAGTGACACAAGAAAGAGTCATCCCAGTTCTTTTTTTAACATAATATATCACTATTAAATAATTCTGCTTTTTGTGAAAGAGATAGAACAAGTCTTTGAATATTTTTCAAAAATATGTTGGTTACTTGGAATGCCTTTAAGGCAAAAATAAGGTTATGAGACTGTTTATGCTTTATGAAACAATAAAATATAAATTTAACAAGGAAATGGGGGGATGTTTGAAAGAGTTTTTTGAGCATATATGTAAAATGATATGTGGATAAATTAAACACTTTATGGCTGATAAACAGGAAACAAATCCCTTTATGTATTTTAAGCATAATGTTCATTGCATAATGCTAGTAAATTATCAGCATCTCAGCTGAGACAATGGAAATTATTTAATACCATCTCTACTATTAAAGATGTCCAGGGTAAAATATATAATCATTCTGTTTCAATAAATTAACATTTTAAGAATTTTTATTGTCAACTGGGTGATACAGAGTCAAATGTAATTGAGGAAGAAGTTAATCAATATTTATATGATACAGCTCCTCCTAAGATTACTTATGACGAAGCTGCCAATTTAACAGCACCTTTATCTCTCTAAGGAATAATAGTTGCCATTAAATCTATTAAAACTGAAAAAGCTCCGCATCTGGATGGTTCTTCCATTAAGTGGTAAAAAAACATATACTGAGTTCTTTGCCCTAAGATTGTTGAAGGCCTCTAATGATGCCTTTTTAAATAAGGTTTTTCCAACCTCTTTCAGTGAGCCTTATATGGTTGTGATTTTGAAATCTGGTATAAATGGTGCTGGCTTTGCAAGCTATTGTCTGATTTCTTTGTTAAGTGTTGACGCAAAAATATTGATGACAACTTTGGCATGCAGGTTACAGACAGTATTACTTTCAATGATCCATTCTGCCCAATCTAGTTTTATGAAAGGTCACCATGTGTTCTTAGGCAATTGGTCTTATTTAGAAAAGATCATCAAGGCCTGAAATCTTTACAACGTGAGCCTGACACTTTTATGTTGCTGAACAGTCTTTGACATTACAGGGAGTTTTCTTATGATTGTAGTATACTAAGGCAAACTTCTTTAGCTTTAAAATATTCTGTATAAATCCCCAGCTGGTACTCCCCAGATGTGTGGAACAACAGCTCCCATCCTTCCTCATCAACATGGATAATTGTTTGTGGCCTGGTGATGGCCTTGCAATCCAATGTTTTATGTATTTGAGTAGAAAGGATTCTGAAAGACTAGTAGTTGGAAGTTTACTTTTTCAATTTGATTAATGCCATAATAACATTTCTTACCTATTATGCAGTTGTGTGTGTGTGTGTGTGTGAGAGAGAGAGAGAGAGGGGGGGGGAGAAAGAAAGAAAGAAAGAAAGAAAGAAAGAAAGAAAGAAAGAAAGACAGGCAGAAAACATTTTGGTATAGATTCATCATACTTTTGGGATTATCATTTTTGGATATTGGACATTGTTTATTTCTCTGGAGAATTTCCATCACATATAAGGTCCAAGACTTGTGCATGCATCTCAAATAATAATCATATTGTTGAACTAGTGAACTAGGAATTATCAAAAGATATTAAATTACTGCAGATATTGTGGAAAGTTGCTACTAAGCCAACAGAAATAATTCAACTGGATTCTTTAAAATGTCAGAACCAATAAGTCAATTAAATGCAGTCCATGTGTTTAATGGTCTAGAATATTTACATTATCATTTTATTCATTTAATGCATTTCTTTCTTTTTTAAAAAAATATTATTATTATTAACCCCAAGAGACGACAAGAGCAGGGAGAGAAAATGTAATGTATTTCTTATCTGCTTTTCAATAAAATGTTCTGACCATATTATAAGAGGGTGCTTTAACTAGAGCTGAAGTTTGGGAGTTATAGTCCAACACATCTGGAATAAACCATATTGGTAAACATTTGGTGCCGTTTAGTTGTTTTCCTTATTTAAATAACTCACATTAAGACCTTGTGCAATGTGTATGAACCATGTCAACACAAGACATAAACATACTATGTTCAAAGACAGTGAAGCACTCCATATTAACGTATTCCAGGTTAATTTCTATCCTACAAAATCACCGAGATGTAAAAGCTCTTCATTTTATTTGAATAATAATCTTTTCATAGGAATGCCTTGTTTTATATATTTCTTAATATAGTAAAGTCTCTCTTAAAGATTCTTAAAGGTGCAGGTTTCATAAGTTGCACCTGTACAATTGATTGTTATGCAATAATTTTCTTATTTCTAGGCATTTTCCATGCCTAGAAATCTTTAAAATTATCTATGGAAATGAATATACTGTAGAAGGCTGAGACCCTACTGGAGAACAGAAATGTTTTCCTTAGTATTTGTTAGCATGTATTCAAAGTTTAATATCACTTAAAGTATAAAAACAGTTCAAATTATCTTAAATTCCAAGTGGAAAAAAGGAGGGAATGCATGAACTAAAAGCTGGAAATAATGAGGTGACAAAGTTCAGGGGAAACCACTTTATTGTGCTTCTGTAATTAAAACAGGCCCAGGATTTTCATGTTATGTCCCTGAGCCGGAACTCGTCAAGTAAAATTTTAGCCTTGAAGCAAATTATGACTGATTTCAAAGAGAATGATTTAGCTCTTTTTGAAATTCTATCTCCTCACAAAGAATCAAGATCAAGCCAGGCAGATGAGTAACCAAACACTGGTAAATGAACAAATACCTCACCTTTTTTACAAATATGACTTCAGGCAGGGCCCTATTTAAAATATTGCTTACTTTGGAGCATGCCTCTCAGTCTTGCTGAGGCTTGTTCCTTGTGAGACAGACATGGTGATCTAATGGACACAGCTTTGTGAGCAAGGAGGTGGAGTATCCAGGTTAATCTCTTCAGTCTATCAGTAATTTGATTCATAGCTTTGGGGGAATTGCTCATACTTTCCTTCTGACTTCCATCTCTCCTATTGTACAAAGCTGCTCCCACCAAAGACATACTAAGAGGCTCCAGGACACTTCTCATATTACTGGCCTTATTTTAGATGCTACCTCAGTGAAAATAGTCATAATTGAAGAACTGAATTATGTTTCTAATAACAAGTCAAATTCAGGCTTTTTGAGATGTAGAAGCAACCACTAGTTTTTGAGTCACAGACTTGGGTCTAAAATTTCATCTACCATTTAACAGGGGATATTTACTTTAAATTAAAGAAAATCATTGCATTCAAGCCTAGGGTTGCTTAATTACACCATAATATGAAAATGAAATAAACTTTCAGGTTAAACATAGAAAGAATAGAAATTTGATGCCACTTGCTGACAAATTTGGAATCTTCTATTTAGTTTTGTGCTAAGGGGCCAAAAGTCAATTTTCTAGTCATCTTGAAAATAAAGAATAAATAAAGCATTGGCTTTTGGGTAGCCATTCAGTTCCATGGTGGGGGGCGGGGGGGAGAGTCTACCAAATTCTGTATATCCAAAGAGAAATAAATAATACTGAATTCAGTAGGGATTATTTGTAGGTAAAGTGGTAGAGTATTGCAGCTTTAACTTTGCAACATGGAATTTTAAAAAAAAACCTATAGAAATACCACAATAAAAATAAATAGAGATAATTTAAAAAGCGCTTTAAATCATGACTGTTTTGACTGTAGTACACAAGACTAATGACAAAAAGAATATGGAATCAAATTTGAATTGAATGAATGTGGTTCAGCAGAAAGGGAAAATCAAATGATCTGGTCCACACAGACATGCCATTTCATCATTAAACAGGCATAATGCGATAGCTTCAGAAATAAAATTTGCATTGATAGGTTTGGATTTACCTTGCCTTTAAAGAAATTAAATTATTTTTTTTTCAGATAAAAGTTGATATTTTGACATACCTATTCTGATCTAGACTGGTATTAAATAGAAGCACACCCGATCCTGATATAGATGTGTGTGTTTTAATGGTTAATTCTGATCCAATTTTAAATGTTTAATGTTTCATCTGAATCAGGGGTGTCAAACTTGTGGCCCACGGCCCCAATGCATCACGTGCTGGCCCCTTCCCTGCCCGGTTTAGTGAAGGGGGGGGGGAGAAAGTCCCGATACATCATGTGACGGCGCCGTGACGACGTGAGTTTGACACCCCTGATCTGAGTAATACAGAAATCACACTGATTCACCAGAATGAAAACATAATTAATATAGCTGTACCACCAGAGTCTCCCCCTGCCCAGGTTCTCCTAATTTATTATAATAGCATATTTATTCCACAAAAAACTAAATAAGAGCATGAGGGAAAGATAAGTTTGATGGTTTGTTTATTGGTTGATTGCAGAAAGGTGATACCACTGCAAGATATTTACCCATAAGAAATCAAAATCTTCAGAAGAATGATGTTGCTTTGGCTATTGGGTATATGACATATTTGGAAGAAAATCCTCTGCTTATCTTGAAATATAACCATAGTCATTCAAAAACCAGAGGTTCAGG